GAAAACGACCTATTGTGAACAATGGTTCCTCCAACTCTTGATCAGAGCTTTCAGAGGGTCGCATAGAGGCTTTCGCACTCTTGAAATCCTCTGAATCACCCGATTCAGTTTCAGATTCAGACTCAGAACCTTCATCAGTGGGTGTGGGCTGTTGTGGTTGCTTTGACTATCCTCAGTCTCATCACCGTCATCAGGATAACATTGGAAAATTCCCACATTCTCCCCCACTTTGCATTGTACTCAACACTTCTCGTGAGCTTAATTGTCTTAGAGTCAGTCATCATTATTCTGTAAGACCCTTTCTGATAACCTAGAAAGATACCATGCAATCCACGCTTGTCTAACTTGGAGTTTTGTGGTGAGCGAACCCACATGTCAGAACCAAAAATCTTCATGTGTTTGATGTATGGCTTCTTGCCAAACATCTTCTCATAGGGGGTACAACCAATCGCTGAAGATAATCTGCGATTGTAACTGTAAACGAAACACGAGAGAGATTCGGCCCAATAACTCTCTGGAAGATTGGCATCATGCAGCAAGGTCTTTAACCCTTGAAGCAATGTCTGATTTGCCTGCTCCGCAAGTCCATTCTGCCATGGCGAGCGAGGACTAGACAAATCGTGTTGAATTCCTTTCTCAGTCAGAAAAGCTTCAAACTGCTGAGAAGTGAATTCTCCCCCGCGATCACTGAAAAGAGTCTTTATCTTCTTACCATGCACATTTTCCAACCAAGCACAGAATTCCTTGAACCTAGGAAAAGCCTCCGATTTCTGCTTGAGATTGTACACAAAAATATATCTAGAAAATGCATCAATGAGAACCATGAAGTACCTATTTCCACCCAAAGAGGGCGATAGTGGTCCAACCAAATCAGCATGAACAACCTGGTATGGTTCTGTAGCTGTCCTACTAGACACCTTACCTTTCGCAGCCATTTTCACCTTGTTTGCTGCGCATGCTTTGCACTTCATGTGGTACTTGCAGGGTTTAATAGTCATACCTTCAACCAAGGCAGGCATTTTAGATACTGCCTCAAAATGCAAATGACCAAATTTGCGATGAAAATCGTGAATACATTCTGCATGCAAACTTTTGTTAGAACCTGCAATGCAACAAGTGTCATCCTGCACCACATCATCATAATACAAAACAAACAAATGATCAACATATTCTGCATGCAATACATAATCATTTTTCTTTGTGATGATGCACTTCTTGTTCTTGAAGGAAACGTCAATGTTCCCCTCAATCAGCTGTCCAACGCTGAGCAGATTATTTTTGGCGTCTGGCACGTAAAGCACATTCTGTATCGATAAGTCCAAACTGTGAAGAACAACAGTTCCGTAGCCTTTACTGGAAATAGTGTGGTCATCCGCCTGGTGAATCGCACCTTCCTGCGGTGTAAAAGACACAAACAGTTTCTTACCATTGCACATGTGGTGGGTGGCCGCTGAATCTACAACGAAGAAAGATCTAGACGTCTTCTGGACCTCTGCAACCTTTGGAGTGAAGCGTGAAACCATAGCCTTGTGTTGCGTTGTCCTAGACACCGGACCTTTGCCTTTGCCTCGGCCTTTTCCGCGCGATGAGCTTTCGCTGCGCTGCTCTGTCTTGGCCCTGGGATGTCTGCATCCCTCTTCATATGGCCTAGACGTCCACACGAGTAGCATTTCACTGCCTTCAAGGCTTTGGCGCCATCTGGTGGTTCCACTGCACTATGGGATGACGTCTGTGAAGACTCCCCCTTGCCCATGCAGCTAGCACCCCGGCGATCTGCTTCATTTAAAATCATGGCAGTAACAAAGTCCACTGTCAGCTGAGCAGTTGGTTGCACAGCAATCTGGGTTGCAACAGACTCCCAACCTGAACCCAAAGATTGTAGTATCATGAAAGAATACACAGCCTCTGGAAAGTTGAGTCCTCTCTGTTGCAGCTCATGTCTCAGATTTTGCATCTCCATTAGATGTAAACGCACATCTCCACCTTCAGCAAGAGCCATATTATGCAGCTTGTTAAAGTAGAACATAGTTGATCCAGCTTCTGTCCTTAAATGAGCCTCTCTCAGAGCGTCCCAAATTTCTCTGGCTGAGGTCTTATCACGCAATAGACAGAGCTCTTCTGGGGATACTATCAATGTAAGAGTTCCCCTTGCTTTGGAATCCTTAGCTTCCCATGCATCTGTAACTGGAACTGGGGGTTCCTGTAATCACCTCAAACAAACCCTCTTTCCGCAGAATTGCCTCTGCATACTGAACCCAGTCGCTGTAATTTTTCTTGTTGAGCTTAGGAATCCCACAAGCATCCTGAAGGGCCATCATGACTCTGGCATTAGCCTTCAGCGTCATATGCTGCTTTAAATCTTGCTGCGTCACTGCTGCAGCTGCCTCATTACAAAGGCACACTTAAAAGTTACTTCGATTTCCCCAGCATAGTGACTTGTGCCTGGGAGCCTTTTGCCTATTCCCGGCAAAACCGGCTTTAAAAGTTCAAAGTCCAGCCATAAAGCCATTAATTTGAAGCTGACAGGCTGCCCGGAGCAGTAGCACATACCTCATCAATCACTTCGACGCGCAGAGCAGATTCCTTTCCGATCCGTCCCCCTGCATTCCGATCCTCTGCCGGCACTCCGATTCGACCTCTGGAGTCCATAACCACGTGTTGATTTAAAGCAGAGTCTGTCGTGCCCAGCGGAAGGATGAGGAAAATGTGCTGCATACTCCATATTGCTTTATTTACAGTTCAAAGCTGGTATATTACAGAAAGACATCTTGCCTCTGCAGGAGCAGAAAAATGCATCCTCTCTCCTCGACAGCCCGGAGAGAATCACACAGAGTGAAAAACAGGAAACCAGTGTACGTCACATCCAGTCTCCCTTTCCCGTGAGAAACTCCAACAGTACAGACTGTGGAATGTAAAACAATGTCTTGTGACTGCAGTTGCTGCTCAGTGAAGGAAATAGAAACCAACAGTGCTTTGAGTGTGCTTTAAAGGCATAGTGTCTACCCAGCCCAGGACTAGGGAGATGCTGGTTCAAATCACCACCCAGTCATGAAGATGTGTGTGACCTTGAACCAGTGTCCATCACTCAGCCTAACCTGTCTCACAAGGTGGGTGAGAGTTATATAAGCTGATCTGAATTCCTTCAAGGAAGGTTGCAATATAAAAAAGAAATAATAAAAATAAATGATTGTGTTTTGCTTTTTAAGAAAATGCCAATATGATGCAGCTTGCTCCATCACCATGCGGCTTAGCATACAAATTATTTCCCAGTGGACTACTCTGTAAGGATAATAATATGTAGGTAATAAGGATCCAGTGACTCGGATGGCGCTGTGGGTTAAACCACAGAGTCTAGGACTTGCCGATCAGAAGGTCGGCAGTTCGAATCCCTGCGACGGGGTGAGCTCCCGTCCCTGCTCCTGCCAACCTAGCAGTTCGAAAGCATGCCAGTGCAGGTAGATAAATAGGTACTGCTCTGGCGGGAAGGTAAACGGCATTTCCGTGCACTGCTCTGGTTCGCCAGAAGCGGCTTAGTCATGCTGGCCACATGACCCGGAAGCTGTACACCGGCTCCCTCGGCCAGTAAAGCGAGATGAGCGCCACAACCCCAGAGTTGGCCACGACTGGACCTAATGGTCAGGGGTCCCTTTACCTTTTTAATAAGGATCCAAGACAGCTCCTCTTATACATAAGCTCATCTTCTTCCTAGTTTTGAGGAAGCCCTCTAACTCCAGCAGCAAATATACACTCCAATTCCTTCTCAGTACATTTGCAGTTCTGGGAAAAGGAACAGTGTTATGTAGCATGTTCATAAGAAGACAAGAAAAGCCCTGCTGGTTTAACTCAAAGGTCCATCTCATCCTGAATCCTGTTCTCATAGAGGTCAACTGGGTGTCAATGAAAAGCCCATAGAAAGGACTTAAGCACAACAGCACTCTCCCAACATTACTGCCTCCAACAGTGAAGGCAGTACATAGAAGATGGAGCAAGCTTGTTTTCTCCTGCTCTTGAGGGTAGGGCACAAACCAATGGCTTCAAGTTACAAGAAAGGAGATTCCGACTAAACATCAGGAAAAACTTTCTGACAGTAAGAGCTGTTCAACAGTGGAATGGATTTCCATGAGAGTTGGTGCACTTTCCTTCACTGGAGGTTTCCAAGTTGAGGTTGGGTGGCCATCTGTCTTGGATGCTTTAGTTAATATTCCTGCATTGCTAGATGATTCTTGGGGTCTCTTCCAGCTCTACAACTCTATGAGCTTGGCTATAAAGTTCATCATTATAGTGTCAGCCACTTCACTAATTCTGTCATATGTGTCAAATTTCAAATTTTGTTATTTTATGTACACATTCATTTTCTCAAAATATTATTACCCATCTTGAATCTACAATGACTGAGATAACTGAGTATCAGTGATTAAAAAATAAATATGAGAAGGTCATGTTTTAATCATCCACATCAAACTTAATAAACTTACTCAAATAACATCTCCAGGCAGCTCATTTATCCTGATGGAAATCGGGATGGCTGAGTCATAATCAATAAAACACTGTCTTGAGAGAAGGAGGAGGAGAGTTCTGTGGGAAATGGCACCTTGTGAGTAAAGAAAACTGATTTACAGTGCAAGTCTATATATTTCTACTGAGAACTCTGTTCAATTTAGTTCAATGGGACTTATTCCTAGGTAACTGTACACAGGATTGCACCATCAGCATGCAATACAAATTATTAAGGATGGTAAACTGAAATCCCACAGGTGTTTTTCCTGGCCCCTCAGATATTCACTGACTTTGCCAGCAGTGGGGAAATATCACCAGGTGCAGCCTTTTAATGGGCCACATCTTGATCGGCCTCAGTGGACTGCAGATTGCCCCATATGTGCTCATCGGATTGATTATACAGGAACATCAAAAGCAGCATTCATTCATCTAACTTAGTATTGTCCCCATTGACCAGCAGCAACCCTCTGGGGTTTCAGGCAGTGGCCATTCTTAGTCCTACTTGGAGATATCAGCGATTGAACCCAAGACATTCTGCATGCAAGGCAGATGCTCTACCACTGAGCTGTGATCCTTATCCCTGATGAGCTGGGAGGGTATGATTTTCCTCCCTATCAGAGCGCTGGTCTGGGTAAATAACCTATTTGCCCAGCTCAGCACTGTGATGGGGAGGGAAATTGCACCCTCTTCATTTTGGCACTTTAGTGGAGAAGGGCTGATTTCCCTCTGCACTGTGATGCCGGCCTGCATAGAGAGATTTACAGCTCTCCACCCAGTGCCATGATTACAGAAAAATATCCCTTGCTCCTCTGGTGATCGGAACTGATCAGCTGAGGAAGAGAGGGAAGAGGAGCTTTGTGCCTGTTTGTATATACATGATGTGTGTGTTTCTCTCTCTGTGTGAGGGCCCACTTTTTCAGAAGCTAGCATGTGGCCCCCCAAAGGAAATGTGGCCCTCGGCCTGAAACAAGGTTAGCCACCCTTGCTATTTATACTTACTTGTGAGTATCTTTCACAGTTCTCATCTGAGTAAACCGACACTGAATTGCTCATCAGAGATGATTTCTAGGAATTTTGCTACTAACCAACATACAGGATTCGGTGTAACCTGTACTACAAAAAAAAAGAAGCAAAGAAAAGCAAATGTATTCCTTGGGTGTATTTGCCTTGCTGAAATGAAGGAATTATATAAATGTTATCATCTGTAGCAATACAGTTTAGGGCCGCTACAATGTTCAGAACATCTCTGATTATCTGGCACACTGCAAACAACATATTCAGAAGTCAGATGGGGATTTAATACAATAAGTATGGTGGGTTTGCTGTGACAGTCTCTTCCATCTTGGTAGATGACTCTTTATCTCCCTGCTCTGAAATGCACATAACTAGAGCAAAACTGGGAAATCAGGTAGCGCCGTTGCCAGCAAAAACAAATATGAATGTACATTGCTTTTTTCCTTTAGCCTTTTTCTTTAGCCTTTTCAAACATCACAAATTCAGCATGAGGTGCCCCTTTTATTTTGGTCACAATTTCCAGACTGTGTGGAATAAAATAAATAAGCCAAATTGTTTGGAGTTTTCTAAAACACTCACACACAATTACTTCTGAAGGTGAACAAGGACTCTTTGTAGATAGTCTAAAAGGGTTGTTTGAGCCCTTTATGTGCCTTGCTTGAGGTCTTTGCCTTCAGAGCACATGTTTCCTTTTAAAGCAGATATGGTAAAATTGAGGAAGTTCCCCCCTTAACCGTGAAGGAAACAAAGACCCTTGGGGTCCCCTCCAACAATACAATTCTGCGATTCTGTGAAAGACAACAGATTCAGACCTAGAGCCCAGCAGAATAACCAAAGGACACGGATGTATTTCGCTGGAAATCATGAAGGGGGCAAGCAGGAATTTGTGAGGTGAGCCTCACATCGGGAGTGTGAGCCTTAGCTATGATTCCTACATTGCAGGGTATTGGGCTAGATGTTCTTTTGTGTCCCTTCTATGATTCTCTCAGTACTGCTGCACATGACGAGCACGCTCCCTGGCGCATATATTTCCAAACTTCTGAGTTCTTTGGAACTAATGGGGGTTTGTTTCATTGATTGATTGATTGATTGATTGGATTTGTATTCTGCTTTCCAGGTAAAAAACAAAAAAACCCCAAACACCTCTCAGAGTATTTATATATATAATCAATTAAAACAAGAAGGGCACTGCCTGCAGGCTTGTAATTTGAAAGAGGAAATACAAATGGTAAAATGGAGGGAGTGAAAGGGGGGGGGGGGAGAAGCCAACTCAGGCACCAGTTTTTAATGTTCGTTGTTCTCTTAATGACCAGCTGAAACAGTTCATGAACAAGAGGAGCCTGACAGAGCTGGAACGGACGCTCCTTCTCATCCCTCCCACTGAGTCAGCCTGCTTGTTGAGGGATAAAAGGCCCAGAGGAGCTGGCTTTTCAGCAGAGCTAGCAGAATGAGACCTGATTCCCATCTCTCCGCTGGGGCAGCCTGCTCGGCAGTGGCGCATGTGGGGCGGTGGTGGTGAGCACCAGCAGTGCCCTCTCCACAGTGGTGGAGCTGCCACTGGCCGCAATGGGGATGGGGCAGGGCAAGGTGAAGTCAGGACTGCTCTGTATTGGCAGTGGCTGTCCCCTTTGTGTACACGCATTTCCTCAGTGAAAATTGCAGGAAGCTTCCTCAAGTGGGCCTGACTCCCTGATAAATGGGAATAGGGATTGTCCTGTGAAATGCCTGTTTCCACATCTCTCTCTCTCTTGCTTAAGGAAACCAAAATGCTGTTTGGATTAATGTGCAATCGCTGGTATTTACTGTTTTACCATTGTTAGGCTAAATTGTCTCTGAGGAGCATGCTATAATAAAGCCAGCATCTTTCCTAATTAGCTGGCATGACTGGTGAATGCAGGCCCGTCCCTTATCGGAATTACCAGCAGGTATCCGGGGAACCTTCTTTGTGCCTTCAGTAATATCTCTGCTGAATTCACCAAGCAGTGGAGTGGGGGGTGGGAGGTGGAATCCAGTAACACACAATCCTATACAGGTCTGCTCAGGAGTAAGGCCTGTTGAATTCAATGAGACTTAGCTCCAGGTAAGTGTGTGTATAAGATTGCAGCTTAAGTTTGGTTTAGGGACCAGAATGCTACCAAAATGCTATACACTAACTAAATGCTATGCTTTAAAGGGGGATATCAGGGTGTGCAATGTACTTTACAAGTATATTTTTATGTTGAAAAAAAAGGGCAGCTGAGCGTAACACTTCATCTCTGAAGATGTTGGCATCTGTCAAGTTATGCTTCATTTTAAAGACCCCGTATTGTTTTAGTAGCCCTTGGTTTATGAATATAAACATGAAAAACATATTTCTCAGGTGGAGATCAGTAAGAGTCTCTTTGCACATAGCAAAGTAGCTGTGAGTGAGCAAGCATGAGTGACTCATGAAGCTGTATCTGTGAGGTACTATTATACCCATTTCCCAGATGGGGGGTGAAGGGTTTGCAATAATGTAACTACAGTGGTATCTCGGTTTTCGAACATAATCAGTTCTGGAAGACCATTTGAGTTCCGAAACATTTGAAAACCAAAAACTCAGCACGGAAGCCTCAATATGGAAAACTCAATACAGAAGCCACTGGGCATGTTTGACTTCTGAGGCAAGTTCGAAAACCGAAGCATTTACTTCTGGGTTTAAAGCGTTCAAAAACCAAAATGTTTGTCAACGGAGACGTTCGAAAACTGAGGTACCACTGTAAATCCCTTGAGAAATTGTTTAAAAAACACTGAATATAGATGACTGGTACTATTCTAATAAAACAGGATGCACAAGAAAAATGCAGGGGAAACATGTGCGAGGTTGGATGGAGTGTCGGCTCACGTGGATTCGTTTTCCTTCTCTGCTACTTGGCTGGCATTTGTCCACTTTGCCTGTCGGCTCTAATTTCCCTTTCTGCAGAGTGCAAATAATGAGAACAGATTGTAATGCAAAAGCATTAGCAGCAGTGAAGTTGCTTCATGGTTGTTGTCTTAAAAGAGGGAAATGACCTGTCCTGGGCAGCCTGAGAGCCCACTAGGTGCTGGACACAGTTTCTTGAGAACAGACCTGACGGATGGAACAACTGGCAGGGTCCTGCAGCAAGGCACAGGGGGCAAACAACGGAGCATTGTTTGCAAGCTGTTAGGCATATTCAACTACTGCAAGATCTGGGAGAGAGCTCCTAGTGACAGCAGGAATTGATCTAGTGGTCCAGAGCTCAACTGGGTCATTTGATCCCAAATGCCCTGTCCCTCAAGTATGTTGCAAACATTTTAAAGAGACAGTACTCTGGCTTGGGACCAGATGCTGTGGAACTATTGAATAGTCTCAAAGGGTGTCTTTGAGATTTATATTTATATTTGAGCTTTTGCTCCTAGGTCCAGCGTAAATCACCTTCCCTCTCCTACAGTGAGTTCCCCCTTGGACTTTAAATCCAGGAGTTTAACCTTCTGGGCTGGTGATCCTGTCTCATAGTGTGATTATCAGAAGGGCCATCATCTGAGCAGTCTGGATCAACTACTAATCGGTGTATTATTTAGTTATTTATTTATTAATAAGTGCAATAATGCATAGAAGCCAGGCCTGCAGCAGAATGTGTTTTTGAGCTTTGCTCCTTCCGATTATATGAAGTCATGCTGGTTACAGGCATAAAAAGCAAACAGGGAGCAGCTACAGAGCTCCCATCATACAACTATCCTGTAGTTAATGTACCAGAATTAAGACCTGTAACTGAGATAATGACACTTGTCGCTCTTTGTAAAATGCATGGAGATTTAGTGGTGAAAAGTGCTGTGGGAAGCCCAAGTATTTATGATAATGGAGGAAACCAATGTGTCAAGTGCAGTGTAAACGGATGCGGCACAGACCCAAAGGGAGCATGTATATTACATTAACATCTTAATAATGCAGGCAAAATGAGAGAGTCAACAAAGCACATAAAATTTAACTCAGCACAGATGCTCTCAAGCCAGAGAGAGAGAGAGAGAGAGAGAGAGAGAGAAACAGCCACTAATGCCATCTGTAGATATAAAATTGCCCCTATTTAAATTAAGCCAAAAGAAACAAGGAAACACACACATTTGGTATACACAGTCATTTGAAAACATCCAAAACATCAGGAAGAACTCCTGACAGTAAGAGCTGTTTGACAGTGGAACCGGCTCCCTCAGGAGGCTGTGGACTCTCTTTCATTGGAGGCTTTTAAGCAGAGGTTGCAGGACCTGTCATGGATGCTTTAGCTGAGATTCCTGCATTGCAGGGATGAGCCTTGGGGTCCCTTCCAACCCTACAATTCCATGCCAATGCTAAGAACATCTGTCTCTTTTTATATATATACATTTTTATTAATTTTTTAACATACCCTTTCCAACAGTCATTTAACACAGATTTTTGTCTTATACAGTTCTTTATCACTTAATCTGCATTTCTTAATTTCTCTATTACTTTTATTTACAGTGGTACCTCGCAAGACGAATGCCTCGCAAGACAAAAACTCGCTAGACGAAAGGGTTTTTTGTTTTTTGAGCTGCTTCGCAAGA